GAACTTCGGAGACATCATTAATATAAATAATTTTAATCGCCGTTGAATAAGAAATGTTTCTTTCACAAGAAATGTATAAAATTACAGTACTGTATTAGACTTACGGTACCTAATTTACATACTGACAGACGATAGTTAGTGTAAAAATCTTCGTAGCGTGGTGCCACGCTAGACGGCGGAAATTATATATTTAATTATAACAAAGTTACAATAAGTTAATATATAATTATATATACAGTACCTAATTTATATATAATTAATATATAATTATATGTACAGTACCTAATTTATATATAATTTATATAATACTGTCCAGACGATAGAAATCTCTCCGTAGTTGGCGCTACGGACGGCGGGAAAGTAGTTCGGCTGCCCGATGACGTTTGAGGTAATTATAGGGGGTTTTTTACTGTTTTTTACGGATACCGGTCACAATTTTTTCATAGTTTTATAGGAATCGTAATTATAGGGACCGTAATTATAGGGGGGTCGACTGTTTATTTATGTCGTAATTATTTAGAATTGGGGTTTCTTACTGACTCCCCTCATCTGGGTTTTCATGGTACACTTTTAGCATCCAGATGCAACTGTTAATCTGTCCACAATAAAAGCTTTAATGTATTCCACTTAGTAGAGGAAGTGTTAGCTGTTGCATTTCTCTCATTTATTATAAGTTTGTATAATATGAAATAAAGAAAAGTACAATAAGACAAATGATTATTTGTTTTATAAACATTTCATTCTTTGAAACTGTGTCTTTGAAGTTGATGCAGTATATAAATTATTTTCTCTATTTTTATCTAATTTTTTATTTTACTCTTACATTTATCAAATATATATTGTATTATTTTACTTTGTGTGTAATATAAAAACAAAATCAACAGAATCTCAACTATTTATGCAAACCAATAGTTTTTTTTTTTTTTTATATATAGTAAATAGTTAATATTGGTAAGAGACAATAAAGAAAAGCAAAGTCAATGCTTTTGTTTTTTCTTTGGAAATGGAAGTAAGAGTGAAGAGTTTAATTGTATAATAATACAATTAAACTTTTCTTCTAACAAGTAAAATTCAACTAAATTTTATTTCATAGAAGATAATAACAACAATTTATTTTTTAGTTTGCCTGTAAAAGGAGAAAAAAATATTCTTGTTACAAGTGCTCTCCCTTATGTCAATAATGTTCCTCATCTTGGTAATATTATTGGTGCAGTATTGAGTGCAGATGTATTTGCTAGGCAAGTATTTATTTTATTTAAAACTTTATTTTAAAGACAAAAGTTTAAATAAATTTTAATAAATTAACTGTTAAATATATTATATTTCTTTTTATTAGGTATTGTCGATTACAACAATATAATACTTTATATATTTGTGGTACTGATGAATATGGCACTGCTACAGAAACTAAAGCTTTAGAAGAAGGTGTAACACCAAGAGAAATCTGTGATAAATATTTTAGATTACATTCAGAGATTTATAGCTGGTTTAATATTTCCTTTAATTACTTTGGGAGAACAACAACAGAATGGCAAACAAAGTTAGTCCTAGATTTTTATTTATTAAATACTTATTAATTAAATCTATATACTGTATATATAAATGAGGATGTTTGTTTGTTTGCTATGCATGGCCAATGGACATTACTGAAGTTAGGAGTATAACTGCCAATGGACATTACTGAAGTTAGGAGTATGTGAACATAACTGCCAAGTTATGTTGTAGGACATTAACTTCGGTAATGTCCTACATCCAACTCCAGATTGTATTGGATTTTTGTCTACATTTGATTTGTTGGCTTTACATGTACAGGTATACCTCACCTTATGTTGGTATGGCTCCAGGAGAGGCGACTTAAGTTGAAAAACAACATAAGTCGAATTTACTTGTCACTAGGCTAAACCACAAATAACATTCCCAGTTTTGTATTTTATTTGTAAATGCATTTTTAATAATATATGGTTAATAAGAATCTATTTTAAGCGTACAAACGAATAAATTTTAGTTTTTAATATAGTAAAGAAAAAAGTAATCTAAATTTACAAATTCATGTGTGTACAGTACATACTTGTAAATGTACATATTTACAATTTGGCGATGTTTACAGTACATCGTGGACTCTTTATTTGTGAATGTGATTTGCTCTAAGACATTATAAAATAAGATGTTTTTGTAAGGTTAAATAACAAATACAGTTATTAAAATTATCTTGCGACAGTAGAAAATAAACTAATTTATATTAAATTTACTAATATCGAGTGGTGCTGACAATGACACCAAATGGTACATATTCGATGTACTGTGGAAAACACCACAGTAGCTCCAATATCTACCATTTGAGCACTTAAAGACCGCTAAATAAGATGACAACACAGAAACACAGATGTTTTCATGTTTCGTTCTATAGGATTTATCATGATTATATTAACATTTATTGTAAATATACATATTTTAATATGCTTTTATGTGTTTTAATGCTTTTCTAGTGATATTTCAACTTCAATATTTGTGGCAGATGGACGTAAAGTCGAATAAAATGACTTAAACTTGATTTTTATTTTTCCATGTATTTTTTGACAAACGACATAACTCAAGGTATACCTGTAGTGCCATCTATTTGAAAAAAATTAAGAAAATAATAAACTAAATATAATTTTTACAAAAAGGATATAAATTAATATATATATATTTATATATTATATTCACTTAATTATAGCAACAATGATATAGTGGGAAATAGACATGCCATTACTCCAGTACTGTGACAGGTGGCTTGCATGGAGTGAAATAGTGTTTGCCCCTGTATATCATACTTTTCCTGTTAGCAGTAGAGTACAGTAGAGCGTCGTTTATCCGAATTAATTGGGGACTGGGGTTGTTCGGATAACCGATTATATATGAAAAAATATAACCTATTCCATGTTGAAATTTTTCTCCGTTGTGTGTCGCTTCGCATTTAATTTTCATCAATGTTAAGCCTAACGTAAACTTTTTAAAATAATAATCGTGGCTATTGTATTGTTAAAAATTATTTCTTTATTTTTTACAAACAAAATAAATACATTGAAAAATATAAAAACAAAAATATACTTTAGAAGTTAATCTAGTATCAAAAATGTTTGATTCAGCATGACACACAGTCCTCAGAAAAACACCACACAAAAGTGCCAGTGCTGCCAGCTAAAACACACATATCAACAAAAAAAATATTGGAGTAGCCCAAGATATAGCCAAAGATTGCAGCACCACAGCACTAGCGAAAATTTAAATTTGCCGACTGGAATGCTTTCGGTTAACCAACGTTTCAGATAACCGGCTTTCAGATAAACGACGCTCTACTGTATGTATCTAACCATGCCAGTTATGTATCTAACTCTGTTCAGAGGAAAATTTTTGAATTGAAATAACATAACTTGCAGTTTGTATTGGAAGTTCGTGTATAGTTAATCTGACCTCCTATTTGTAAGCTTTCCATATCTAGTCTTGCCTTTCATCTATCTAACTCTGTTCTTGAGATTAAGAAAGGACAGACATTAGACAGACAACAGTGGGAATTTATAAGTCTACAGTTCTTTTCAAATTGCAGCCCAATAAGTACCCTCCAATAACTGAGTGGATAAAACCACTGAACACCAATAGTTGGTTGTGGGTTTGTGCATCACCAATGGACTGGCCATGTGGAGTTTTCTGGGTTTTCTTCATGTTAGTAACACCAAAATAGGGGCTAGCTTTACATAAGTCTTTCCAGGATGCATCCTCTTTGACAGATTGCTCACATGTTGTGTTGCCATAACCAAATAAACCAAACTAATCTTAATAATTTTTCTATAAATATGATATTTACCAGGACATACTTAACTACCACAAAACCTGGACACATCTCTCCCCTAATTTCACCTTTCCTTATTAATTCATAAACTCATTGCCCCAAACTTCCTTCACTGATACTGCTTAAAGATGTTTTAACATTCAGCCAAATTAATATACATGCTACGATTTTAAGGCAAAGTAGAGCTTGAAGTCTTTTTATGTGCCGATGTTTATTTTTCCTATTATCATGGTGACATTGTAAATTTTTTGTAGTTGTAGATTGTATAATGTGCACTTTAAACACATGTTGAATCTTACTGTCAAATATGCTTTCAGTATTCTTATGCCACAACTTTCAAAAGTTTCCTTTACATAGATGGTTTTGCTGAGCTTTACTTTTTCAACTTGGTTTCACCAATTTTTTTTTATTGGATCACATAAAAACAATTATTCTCAAATTTTTACAATATTTTTTTATTTAAACAAGTCTTATATGAAGTCTTTCAGACGTTAAGGTTAGCAACTTTGATCACATGCGTGGCCATCACAACCTATCCAAAATTGATCACTTTTCTAACATTAATAGTAGACCAGTATTAATTAGTAGTAGTTGATCATCCTCTCTCCCAGGAGATAGTCAACTACTACTTTTAGTCAAATTAACTTCAACCTTCTGCAACAGTACTTTCTTTTTATTGGACCCACCAGTATTGTGACATTCAAATAAGAAAATTACATAATACAAGGTTATTGGTGAATACAAAATTTGATGTAAGTGGTTTTTGAGTGTGCCAAATTTAAATATTTGGTCCATTTTCTGTGAAATTTGATTCATTGGCCTTTATACCATACAATGTGTAATGGCCCCAAATATGGAATGGACGTTTGAGCAAACACCCGACTCTTCTTTTTGTCATCAGATCTCAAAGCAGTTGGTGGGAAAAGAGAGCTGCAGACAAGATTATCGACATACTTGAACTTGGATGTTGTATAACCAGCATTGTGTACTACTGTAACAACCTGACTCAATTCATGTACTGTACAAGCAAGGGTGATGAAGGGTACAAATATGCTCTGTGGATAAGAGAAGCAATGGCCACATTTATACATATCTGGGAGGCTGAAAAGAGTTGGCTGGTATGATGTAAGAGGATAGTTCAAATTTGTAATGCACTGAGAACTCGAGTTGTGTAGAAATCCCATGTATAGACAAATCTAGGAAGGTAATCGTTCTTTCCTTTTCTTCTTCCATAGAGAAAGAAATGGAGGGATACACTCTGGCTACAGATTGAATGAGAGTTAACAGCCTCAATGGTACCATCCCAAGCAATTAAGATATCATCTACATACCTAATATAGAGTAAGGAGTAATGTATTGTAATGGGTAAAACACTATACTCTAATTTCTCATAATTAACTCAGCCAAAACAACTGAGAGAGAAGAGCCCATAGGGCCACCTTACTTTTATAAAAAATACTGGCCATTAAACTGGAAATAATTGTGTGAGTGACTAGAAGGAGAGTCTCCCATATACCAAATATTTGTTGGACTGTGAAAGCTTTTTCTAGCAAAAGGGTGTTAGCAAGAATTATAGCCTCAAAATTCAGTATGGATGGATAGAGCAAATTTACATCAATTTTGTAAACCCAAAAAGTCTCTGTTTGGATTGAACCCAATCTGTTAACGATACTTGTTTCAGCTTGTAACTTTGAAGAGACCACAAAATTGGAGTTGGAACAATTGTAGTGAGCAACGTAGCCAAAGGCCTTCTCCAAATTGTACATTGGGTGAGTATGTTTGTTGATCAATGGATGTAGAGACCATCCAGGTTTGAGTTTTTCCCTCAAAGATCCACAGGATTTGTTAGTGGATGAAGAGATCCTGCCTCACAATCTGTATTGTACATGTTTTCATGAGATGTGGCATTGTACTTCCTATAAAACTGCAGATTTATATTATTTTCCTGTGCAGATTATTATGTAATGCTAAGGATAGTTTTATCTTTTTGAGAAGTCAGGGTTCTACATTGGCCCTTTACAGCAGACACAAACAGGAGCAAAAATATTTTATATTGGGGCCACAACTAGAAAATTGGCTTGCCACTTTCAAGACCATCAAGACAATATCAAAAATTACAGAACCACTACCAAACTTGCTAGAAACGCTTTAGAAAATGGTTATGGTGTGTTATGGGCCGATGCCATCCTACTTCAACAGTGCTCAGATTGCAGGGTCATTTTCAAATGGGAGTCATTTTACATAACAACACAGTTCGTGTAACGAACCTTCATTTGATCTTCAAGCAATATAGTACACATTATACAGGAAGTTAGTATGATAATTTTTGTTCAAGTTAATTCTAAATTATAAATTTTTTGCATCTTTTTATGTCTATTTTTATTTCTGCTTTATTTATTTATTATTATTATAGTTTTTTCAATGTATTGATGCATCCTATGGAGTAAGCTTTAAATTTGCCATTTGGAACATATTAATATATATATTTTAAACTGAAAATTTCCATTATTCTATAACTGAAGAAGACAATTTTAAATTTCTCGAAAGTACTTGCAGTAATATTTCAAGTAAAATAATAATGCCAACAAACAGTGTTAGTGTTTTCTTAAGAATTTTGAATATAAAATAGGAAATTAATTTTAAAAAGAAATTAAAAACAGAAATAAAACAAAGTTCAATAAAAGTTGAGCATTACATAAGATCTCAAATAG